AACGGGGAGTAGACCGGAACAATTGCAAACGAATTTGTTCTCAAAGCCAAAATATTTTTGCAAGTATAACTCACGGTGACAGCAAGAGCCCAATATATAAAGACACAAAGCAAGCAACGAAGAGATGATAGCACGAGGCCCTAAAACACGAAACCCCAAACGTTGATGATGAGTAGTAACATCCGCAGAAAACCTCTCCACTTCCAAAAGTCAGTTACAATTCCTTATAGGAATTTGATTCGTAAGAGGAATTGGGGGCAAAGTGTGGAGGAAAATTTTCCCACCAATCATAAGACACCACGTGTCAACGAAAAAGAAAAGGCCCAACAATGGTACGTTGGTCCAGGGGCCCAATATCCGGCCAAAGCAACTAGTAGTCTAGAAAAAAGACCTGAACTTCAAGTCACTCCAAAAAGAGAAAGCAAAGCCCAGTTAACCCAACCCAAAGTTAAACGCACTAGAAGTAACGGTCATCATAAAAGGAAATCACAAAGAATCAGGAGGGATGAATGCCCACGTACAAAATAGTCGGTAACAGTCCCATAGAACTCTCTTTGTAAAAATATATAAAGAAGGGGGCAAGACCCAAATGAGGCCAGTCCTTCTGACATGTGTTCTTCCATAAACTTTTTTTTTTGATAAGTAAGAAATGCATTGAAAGCGATCAAAAGGGGAACGCATCCCAAGAGAACAAACACAGGGCCAAAACAACCCTTTAAGCCTTCAAAGAGGCCAAGAAAACAACAATATCCTCAGAAGATTTAAAATCTCTACCCGAAACCCAACAAAAAAGAGTGGAAAGAATAGAGAACTTAAGAAAAGAAATAGGTCTCTCCTTTCCTTCAAAATATCTTTTATTCCTCTCCAGCCAGATGCACCACCACACACAAAGAGGCGTAGCCCTCCAAGCATCATGAGCATGGGCCCTTACAGAGAACCCTCTCCAAGCCTCAACCATCTGTCTAGAGGAGCGAGGCATAACCCAATAAAACCCAAACAAACAAAGCATCAAGTCCCAACATTCCTTAGCCATTGGGCAATGAAGAAGAAGATGATCCACTGTCTCATTATCCTGAAGACACATGTAGCACCGATTAACCACTACCTGATTCCTCCTTCTCAAATTGTCTTGGGTCAAAATCTTACCCAAAACAGAGGTCCAAGCAAAAAAAGCCACCTTGAGAGGAGCCTTAGAGCGCCAAACAAACTTCCACGGGAAGGATCCTCCAGGCTCAGCTGTAAGACACCTAAAGAAGGAACGAACATCAAAGCGACCTTGCGGATTTGGCTTCCAAATCTAACAATCAGAATCACTAGCCATAACGCTCTGACGATACAACGCCTCCAACAAAAGAGTGACATCCTCGACCTCCCAATCTTGAAAAGGACGCCTGAATCGAACATCCCAAACCAGTCTCCCATTATCAAGACAATAACAGTCAACCACCTTGGCTTGTTTATCCGAAGCCATCCTAAACAACCGAGGGAAAGCGAGAGCAAGAGAAACCTCCCTGCACCAAACATCCTCCCAAAAATTGATCCGCCTACCATCCCTAAGTCTGAAACGAACATGAGTGGAAAAGACAGTCCACCCCTTCCGAATAAACTTCCAAACTCCCACACCCCTCGGGCCACGCACCTCAAGAAAGCACCACCCTCCTCTACCTTCCCCATATCTACTAGCAACAACCTTCCGCCAGAGCCAGTGCCTCTCCACCCCAAACCTCCACAACCATTTTCCAAGGAGAGCTTTATTGAAAGGCACCAATTTACGAAGGCCCAACCCACCATAACGAATCGGCTTACACACTTGCTCCCACCGAATCAAATGAAACTTAAACTCCTCCCCTCTTCCCCCCCAAAGAAAATTGCGTTGCAACTGTTCAATTCTCTCGGCAACAGAGAGAGGAATCTGAAAAAGTGAGATGAAATAAGTAGGAAGGCAAGAAAGGGTACTTTTAATCAGAGTAACCCGCCCCCCTTTAGAGAGATATTGCTTCTTCTAACCCGCCAATCTCCTCTCAAATCTGTCCACAACAGGATCCCAAACCCCCACACACCTCGAAGGAGTTCCCAGAGGGAGCCTTAAATAGGAAATAGGAAAAGAGCCAGTACGACAACCAAGAATGCCCGCAAGCGAAGCTAACTCAGGCACCTCCCCTACTGGCACCAAAACCCTCTTGCCAACATTCACCTTGAGGCCAGAAACTATTTGGAACCAAATCAGAACACATCTCAAATACCTGAGTTGGGACACCTCTGCATCACAAAACACAAGCGTATCATCTGCAAACATCAAGTGGGAAATCTCCAACTGGCTGGCAACATCTCTACCCACCCGGAACCCATTCAGGAAACCCAACTCAACAGCCCTCCTCAACATCCTACTGAAGGCCTCCATCACAAAGAGGAACAAAAAGGGGGAGAGCGGATCCCCCTGTCTTAGGCCCCTTGAGCTAGAGAAAAAACCCGTCGGAGCACCATTCACAAAAACAGAGAAACGAGCACTGGAGATGCAAAAATGAATCCATTTCCTCCACCGCTCCCCAAAACCCATCATCTCCATCAGATAGATAAGGAAACTCCAGCTCACATGGTCGTACGCCTTTTCAACATCCAACTTACACAAAACCCCTTGTTCCCCACTACTCAGCCTGGAATCCACACACTCACTAGCAATAAGAACTGAATCCAGAATCTGACGGCCTCCCACAAAAGCATTCTGAGAATCAGAGATCACACCATCCAACACTCTCCTCAACCTAAAAGCAAGAACTTTGGCAATTAACTTGTAAATGCACCCCACCAAACTAATAGGGCGGAAGTCCTGAACATCCAACGCCCCTCCTTTTTTGGGGATGAGAGCAATGAAAGTGGCATTCAAGCTCTTCTTAAAAGACCCCTGAGAATGAAAGGCGTGAAAAGTATTCATCACCTCCCCTTTGACAACCTCCCAGCACTCCAAAAGAAATCTCGTGGTGAACCCATCTGGACCTGGGGCTTTATCCCCATTACAGCTCGTCAAAGCGACCAGAACTTCCTCCTCAGAGAAGGGCGCTTCCAGACATGTACATTCCTCATCAGAAATAGAGTCAAACTGGAGTCCCTCAAGCAAAGGTCTCCATTCCTCCGTCTTAGTGAACAAATGCTCATAGAAATCAGCAATACCTTTACAGATATCATCCTCCTTTAACAAAGTCACCCCCTCCACCCGAATCCTCCCAATATGATTACCCCTTCTATGGGCGTTAGCCAATCTATGGAAAAACTTCGTGTTTCTGTCATCCTCCTTAAGCCACGAAGCTCGAGATTTTTGCCTCCATGAAATCTCCTCTAAAATGGCAATCTCAGCAAATTCAGCCTGGCACTCCAATCTCCTAGTGTTCAAGGAATCCACCAAAAGCCCCTGACACTCCATCCTGTCAATCTCTGCTATCTCAGCAAAGACCCGATTTTTCCGCCAAACAAGATTCCCGAAGACCTCTTTGTTCCAAACCTTGAGGCATTCCTTCAACTGGCGCAAGTTGCCAGCGAGCACGTGACTAGGAGAGCCAACCACCCCAAACCCATCCCACCAGAGACGAACCCTCTCCAGAAAGCCCTCAGCACGAAGCCACATATTCTCGAATCTGAAAGGAGAACGCCGTCGACGCAACCCACCACGATCCAGAAGCAACGGAACATGGTCAGAAATAGGGCGAGCCAAGGTAACCTGAGCAACATCCGAGAATCTCTCCTCCCAATCTCCTGTCACAAGGAACCGATCCAACCGAGAAAGAGTAGGAGGGGACCGACCACTAGACCAAGTAAAAGGGCCTCCCTCCAAGGGCAAATCGACCAACCCAAAGTCATCAATGAAGGCCGAAAAGGACTCCATGTCAGACGTCCACCTACCCCCCCAATACACCATGGCAAAAACCATTGTGTTCTAACATCTCCCAACTCCTCCCACAAAAGAAAAAGCAACGAATCCTCTGAAGGCCCATAAACACCTGAAAAAACCCAATGAAAACCATCCTCCACCAACGACAGCTCACAAGAGACAGAGAATCTCCCAATCCAAGAATCCACCAAAGAAACCCAGCGGTTATCCCACATAACAAGGATACCGCCCGAAGAACCATCCGCATCCAAAGCACACCACTCCACAAATCTCCCACCCCAAAGACTACGCACAATCAAATCAGTCATCACTGCAATCTTAGTTTCCTGCAGACAAACCACATGACCTCCCCCTTTTCGAATAGCGCACTTCACAACTTTCCTTCTCCCCGGGTCATTGAGACCCCAGACATTCCATGACAAAATTTGTAGCTTCATAGGGAAACAGATGATAAAATAGCCCCTCTTCTCCTCCCACCATCCCTCTCCCTGGAACCCCTGAATCTTCTTTCATAAGTAACCACTCCCGAGGAAGACCGCCCTTCCCCAGCTCCCCTCCCGGACTGAGAAGCACCCCTACAGCATACCCTTTCCAACCTTTGCGAAAGAAGAACATCATGGAACATATTCATCGCCGCCTCCATTTTTCCTTCAAAAGACACCCCCAAAAGAGAACCCACCTCCCCACCTTTCTCTCTCAACCATTCCTCCACCACACCGTCCCCTCCCTCACCAGGAACTGGACCACCCAAACATTCCCCATCCGGACCAACACAAGCCAAAGGAGCACACAAAACAGCATTCTGCTCCAAACCATCCCACTGCACTAAACCATGCTCCTCCTCAACAGAATTACAAAGACCTTCCTCCCAATCCTCAAGGATCGGAGTGAAGGGTAAGCAACCAGCCCGCGGAGTCCCAAACACCTCCTCTAAAGCACAGCCCAAAGGCTCACATTGAAGACCATTCAAAGCCAAATGAACTCGCAATTCCTTAATCAAAGTTCAAGATGTTTTGCACCTGCAAGTGGTTATTCAGAATTTCAAAGTTGTTTTCTTGTGGTATTTCTAGTTTTCTACATTTGATAAACATGACCTTCAACTTCCTTGAAAATGTAGGATCACATAAAAAGAGGAAATATAGACTTCAGCTCGTTAAAGTTCCGTGTCCTTGATGAAGCTGATGAAATGCTGAGGATGGGTTTCGTTGAAGATGTTGAATTTATTCTAGGTATGCAATTTCATCATTTAGAATCCTTTGCATTGAGAACATGGGTTGATTTTAATTGGGATTTCTTGGACTTCGATCTGGAATTCATACTATATCATTTGTTTAATATCTTTTTATACCTTAGGTAATTTTTATAGTATATTATTGACACTGTATTTTACTCTGATATGGACAAATTTCCTATTTGTATAAATGGGAAATAGAAGTGATTGTATATTTTGTTGAGGCTTCGACTGTTAGGATGCTCTTCTTCTTTTCTGCCTCATAATTTTTTGATGTGGCCGGTTATTTTTTTTGGGGTGGGGTATGGAGAGGAGTTGTCAGGGTCTGAAATATCAAAATAGAAGTCTGACTGATCCACGTTTACTTATTAAATGCTGTATTGTCATGCTAGAGTCTATTTTCGATATGATGTGGTATTACCTAAATGCTTGCAATTCCACCTTCTTGCTTAGTCCTTCTGGTTAGGGTGGTGCTGACATTGTTCTTTACATTTAATCAAGCCCATCATTTAATTTTCAGTGGAGCTTATTTGGAATTAATATTGTCAGGCTCAAAGAATCCATTAGTTAGGAACTTAGATTCATTGGTGCCGGTGCCTCACATTTGACAATGCATACCAGAATTTGCTTTTCCTTTCTTTTGCCATTTTTAGCTCCAAAATACTATTTAGCTTCCTGATCTTATATGCAAAGGGCACATAACCATCGTGTCTTCTGTTGATCCAGCAAGCATTGCATTCTTTGTCCATCCAATATGTTCTTCGATGCCTAGTTGAGACGCACTGAAGGAGCGGTGTTATGCTGTCACAAGCATTCTTGATGAAATGAGAGAAGTGAAACACGTCCCAAACTTAATAAGTATGCCTTATCTCAAAATCAATTACCATTGTGGTTCAAAAGTAGGATGCATGAATCTCTGTCACTATCATTTTCTAAGTGTTATTATTGGTGTACAGTGTACCCACATATATCTGCTGTATATAATATTGCTCAAGTTGATAACTCTGACTTTATTAACTCAACGCTTGTTGACTTTTGTAGGCAAGGTAGAGGATGTCAGCAAAGTTCAAACGCTTCTCTTCAGTGCCACTTTACCAGACTGGGTGAAGCATGTTCGTTTCTTTACATATGCTATTAATATAATCTGGGTTCCGAATTCAGAATTCAAAATTATATTTTGCTTGCTGCTTGACCCATCTCTCTCTCTCTCTCTCTCTGTATATGTGTGTTGTGTTACAATAATTGTCTTCTGATCTTAAAAGTTGAATAGTTCCTCCCATTGTGCTGTCTCCAGTCATCCATTTCTTTTATCTGACAAAACCTATGTTTGATTTTGCTAGATTGCTTCTAGGTTTCTAAAAAAAGAAAAGAAAACTGCAGATCTTGTTGGCAATGAGAAAATGAAGGCTAGTACCAATGTTCGGCATATAATTCTTCCCTGTTCTAGTTCAGCCAGATCCCAGATTATTCCTGATATTATTCGCTGTTATAGCAGGTTGGTTGTTTCTGGTTCGCACCCACTCAGTTATTCCGAGTTATAGACATTATTTATGAAGTTGCTAAATAGTTCTTTTCTTGTCTTGTTTTTTCCCATACAATGGCTTAATTCAGTGGTGGTCGTACCATTATTTTCACTGAGACGAAGGACTCTGCTTCTGAACTTGCTGGCTTGTTGCCTGGAGCACGTGCTTTGCATGGGGACATCCAGCAGGCCCAGAGAGAGGTATGTTTATTGTTGAAACACATAGATGTTAGTTTGATTCTTTCTTCTTGATTGGTTGTGCACGAATTAACAGTTTCCTATAAGCTTTCTTTGGTGTTAGCAAAAGAAATTCTGCGCAATACCCCTGCCACTTTCTTTATAGAGCAGAAAAAGTAAATACTACCCAGCCCCCCTCCCTCCTTCCAGAACTGCACATGCATGCCTGGCCCTAAAAGACGCGCGCGCTTGGGTTTTGTGGGGGGGGGGGGGGGGGGGGGGGGGGGGGGGGGTGGGTGTTGGGGGTGGGGTGGTGGTTGGGGGGTGACACTTGGTTTTTATTTTGATAAGGGGTGACGCTTGGTTTTCCTATATTGAGGAAAATTAATCTTTTTAAATTTGATTCTCAAGTATAACCAAATCATTTAACTTGCATGAATATGCAACGTACTGCAGTAGTTTTTGTTGTTTGGACGCCTGAACCATTTAGACAACACCTAGGTGCTAAAGAGGTTTATTGACTAAAGTGCCTTGTATGGTCAGAGGTACATTCTTTAGTACCTAAAGACACTAGTTTCTTCCTAGGCTGCATTTGTGATTGTAATTCATCTTCCGGCTGGATATTTTCTGTCATAGGATTTAGCTGGCACCATCATCAGACAATTTTTTATTGGTAAAAACTTGTGTGAAACATTTTATCATTTTTGTTCCTTAGACGAATTTGTTTACAGTGTTCACATTTCTGATGGTTCAAGATATGAATCCTGATGTTTATTGAAAGAATCAAACAGTGAAGGAAAAATGATACCGTTGATATGGGCATATATTAGTAAAATAAATGAATCTTTTTGTTGAACATGAATAGGAGCACGTCAATCACCATAATGTGACTTGTCAAAAAAAATAAAATAAAGGGACTATTAGTGTGATTTGATGCTTCCAGGTCACACTTAAAGGATTCAGATCAGGCAAGTTCATGACATTAGTGGCAACAAACGTGGCAGCACGGGGATTGGACATCCACGCTGTCGAGTTAATTATCCAGGTTTATGTTTATGTTCTTTTTGGGGGTATATATAGGTGTAATTTTGCCGTTGTCATCCTCCTTTGTCAAATTGTATCTTGAGTATGCTGACAATAATGTTCATGCTTTAGTGTGAGCCTCCACGTGATGTAGAAGCATATATTCATCGATCTGGAAGGACAGGAAGAGCAGGTTAATGCTGACATTGTCATTTCTTTAATTTTGAATGGGAAAGGGTTTGGAAGGTTGAATGGTTGATCTTTAATGAGTGAGATATCCTTTTTCTTCTTTTTGTCCCCCAGGAAATACTGGGGTTGCTGTAATGCTTTATGATCCTAGAAGGTCAAATATTTCTAAGATAGAAAGAGAATCTGGTGTGAAATTTGAGCACATATCTGCTCCTCAGCCAGCTGATATTGCCAAAGCTACTGGTGTAGAAGCAGCAGAAACAATCATCCAAATCTCTGATAGGTATACTTGCCGTTTGTACTTCTTGGTTGCTCTCTGTGTTGTTAGCTTCACGTATTTATTATACTTAAAAACTGCAGTGTCATTCCGGCCTTCAAGTCTGCTGCTGAGGAACTCTTGAATACCTCTGGTCTATCAGCTGTAGAATTGCTTGCAAAAGCACTTGCCAAGGCTGCAGTGAGTTTGTTTGTTTCTTTGTCCTGTTTTAGCGATGAGCATTGTTTTCTTACAGTGGCAGAAAGAATGGCCTAACTATCTCTTGTGCAGGGTTATACTGAGATTAAGAGTAGATCACTTCTATCTTCCATGGAGAACTACATCACTATATTTCTTGAGGCTGGCAGACCCATCTACACGCTATCGTAAGCACCTGAAATCTTTATGTTTCCCTTTTGATATCTGCATACAAAACATCTTCTTCGGAAATATGATATTGATGAGAAAAATCACAAGTACATGTAGTAAGGACGTTGACGTGGTGTGGGTGTCCGTGAAGGATTTGGGGTCCTGTCTTGTTGACCCTAAATCAAATCAATTGGATTATAAGTAGTTGAATTGGTGACCAACAGGCTTATGTGACATTGCATCTGTTACAGCAACAATAAAATTCTGTGTCACAGGCTTGAATTTGTTGAAATAGAAAATTTGAAATGCTGTTGTTTATCCACATGCACATCATTATTTGTGTGATCCTTTTTGTTGTATTTTATCTTTCAAAAATTTTATTTTATTTTATATTATTATTATTATTTTTGAAGTTTGAGAAAAAAAATTCGAATCTAGTTGTTCCAACTAATTGATTTTTTGATGATTTTTGCATTGATAATATTGTGCATAGTTTTGTACAGTGGTGGTTCCGTTAAAAAATTGCTTAAGATTTTTGCTTCATGTACAGGCTCAAAAGCAAGTTGTCAACCAGTAGATTTAGTTCATTAGAGTAATTGTATGATTCTTGTGCACGAATTCTATTCAGGTGTTGCTTAAGATATATATATATATATATATATATATATATATATTGCTTCATATACAGGCTCAAAAGCAAGTTGTCAACTAGAATTAGTTCATAGAGTTATTGTAGGATTCGTTTTTTGATGCGGAGTGAGAGTATAAACAAACTGTGTGCCAAGGTGACTGGTTGAAGAGACTGGACCAGACCATGCTGGTAGGGCAGCCACGACACGGAGTCACTATTGAAAATCAAAATCTATTAATTTCGAAATTCTATGGTTTGCATCTTTGGGTATGTAAGGTTTAGGACGTGCTGTAGCCTGAAAGTAAGGGTCCCTGTCTATTGCATGTCTGAAAACTTTGTGACCCACTTTGGTATGGGATGATGGTAAAAATCTGCATAATCTTCTCTCATGATAGAATGTAAGATATTAAATCTGGGGGAAGTCAATTTAGCAAATTTGACATTCTGATGCATTTGCTCATTGAATTGTTATTTATGCCTCTGATCCTTGCTTTCTTTTGATATAATGACGTTTCAGCTTTGCTTATGGTGTCTTAAGAAGTTTTTTGCCAGAGGAGAAAGTTGAAGCGGTCAAGGGTCTTGCTCTCACTGCAGATGGAACGGGGGTGGTCTTTGATGTGCCTGCTGAAGATTTAGACACACTTCTTGCTGGTATGTTCTTTTTAATTTTCTGGAAGTTTATTTGTGATTATAACAAGAAATGTGGGAAAAAAACCAGAGAAAACCAACAGCAAGTAATTTGAGAAATAATTAAAATGTAATAGTTGTTAAGGGGGGAATAGGAAAATAATGGCTGCTAGGTTTTAATTAAATTTAAGGAAGCTTTTCCTTGTTTATCTCAAGGAACATAACAACATGACTATTCATGCTTTTTGTGCAAGTGGTATTTTAGGTGACTGACACCCTACCTAAGTTACATTGACACCCTACCTAAGTGACTCACATGACTGACATGACTTTTAAATAAATACAAGGGTACATGAATTTTAAATAAAAAATAAGGGTAAATACACGAATGACATGTCTTTTAAATAACAATAAGGGTAAATTACACTGACCTTTCGAGATCTGACAAAATTACACGGGCCTCCCTGTATCCTCAAAAGTCACACTGCCTTCCCTGAAAATGAAACTTGGTAACAAATACCTCCTCCCATTAACGGTCAACATTGGTCAAAGATGTAAAATGATTATGTCATGCAATGGTTAATACCAACAATGACCTCATTGCATCTGTACCGGAGATCTTTGGTAAACAAATGTGTTGTTATGTAAGGACATTTTAATAACATCATAACAACCATAAACGCCGCTAAAGGGATGCCATTTGCAGGGAGGTCAATTTAATTTTTGAAAGGGTAGGATCCAAATAAAAATCTATAGAAGTTGAAACAAATGATTGAATTGCTTTGTGGCCTTGCTTGGCTTGGCCTCTTGATGTTGCTGCATCAGAATGACTATACAGAAATTTGGACCCTCATTGGATTCTATCTAGTTCACCTTTTCGCTGGCAAATGTAATCCTGTTACATAATTGTTTATCGGCATTTTTTGTTTGCATAATTTCATACAATGTATTGTTTCAAAGAAAGTGAAAAACCAGGATTTATATTGTTTTCTGTTTTATTATTATTATTTTTGGTAAGGAAGTCATACACCACCCATTTGGAAGGAGAGTCAGAATTTGGAAGGAGATACCACTTGTGCTAAGCCCGTTGTGGCGTTGTTTCCCTTTTTGATTATTGATTTATTTAGTTGGTTTCACTTATCTAAGATTTTTGTATTTTACTATGGCTTTTTATTATTTTCTTGGTTGGCTTGCAGGCGGGGAAAAAGCAGCTGGTGTGAGCTTAGAGGTAGTGAAAACATTGCCACGCTTGCAAGATAGAGATCAGTCAAGAGGGGGAAGATTTGGCAGTGGTGGTCGTGGTGGCTTTTCTGATAGGAGAAGTGGTGGCGGTAGTGGTAGGTTCTCAGGAGGAAGAAGTAGTGGTGTTAGGTTCTCCAATCGAAGAAACAATAGATTTTCCCAAGGCCCTAATTGGAGGAGAGGTGGTAGCAATAACAGCAATAAATGGTGAGGAGCTCTGTAACCGTTAGATAAAAAGCATCCTTTCGCCACAAGGGAAAAGTAATTTTGTGATATTGAAGAAAATATTTGAAGCTCGGCTTTTTTGAAGACCTCAGGACGAACTGACCCACGTATTTATTTATTTATATGCTTTTTTTTTTTTTTTTTTTTTTTTTTTTTTTTTTTGTTAATGTGTTGTAATTATCATTTTTCATCTTTTCTATTTTTTTTTTGGAAATCCTTTCCCCCTGTTTTCAAGTTTTGTTGGCAAAAGAAAAAAGGTTCGACTGATGAGTATATATCCTTTTAGATAAATATATGCTTGATTTTATCATGTTTGTATATGTATACTGGAACTTGGAAGCCATAATTGTTGAGTCTCTTGAACTGGGGCTAAAATTCTGTCCTGTCAGACAGTGTTTCTGTTCTGTCTAATTAGTGAAGTACTTTTCAAAAATGATGTGATGTTTAACGTACTTTATTACATTATTGTAACTTATTTTATCTATGGTTAAGAATTTTGTTTCGTCTAGTTAGTGAAGTAGTTAGTGAAGTACGTTTAAAAAATGTAGGTGATGTAAAATAGAACCACTGTTCCACAGGATATTCCACGGAGTAGACCAAAATTCATCCCTTGAACTAGACTAAAATTCTGTCATGTCAAATAGTGGTCCTCTTCCATTAAGCTAGTGAAGTACGTTATAAAAAGCTTAGAATCTTTAAGATTATTGTATCAAACTTGGTTATAAAGTTAAAGGAAGAAGAAGTAATAAAAAAAAATTACCCTTATACTCCCTCTACGTAGAAAAAAATGCACCGACCTCTCTTTAGTTTATGACATTGTTCAAGTTGCCTTATTGCAACTTGTTTTGAAAGTTGTGTGTATGTGTGTGTGAGAGAGAAGATGATTAAACAAAGGCACGTCATATCTGATAATTCTTTGTTTAATGAAATTTCAAGGGTATTCAGGAATAAAGTCTCAAATGGTCTCTGAAATGCATGTTTTTTATTTTTATTTCTTTTTCTTCTGTGATTATATATATATATATATATAATACTCATTATAGTATGATGGTGTTGTAAAAGTTAATGTGGGATCCACATATTAATTGTCTTGCACTAATGATATGAGTTATGTATGTCAGAAGAAGAAGAAATGTATAATTTGTGTCTGTGTGAGCGCGGATTGTTGATTGTGAACAAGGGATGGAGGAAAAGAAAAGTGAAATGTGGGGGAAAAAACTGCCTATATATGTGTGTGTGTATATCCCGAGACAAAGTAGCAATACAAAAAGCTCCAACTTTCCGACTCATTTCTTGTGTTCTTCGGTACTTGCTTTAGATATATTTTGCTCTATATTTATAAAATTTATTAATATTTAGTTTTCCTTTCCTTTTTTAATTATCAAACCCTGCCCACAAAAGAAACACTACTAGTTAGTTGTTTCACAAGGTTTATTTCGAAAGTTAGTTACTAAAACTCCCGCTTTATTTGGAAGAACTAAACCATCTATGATGGAGTGAAATATGGTGGAATGGAACCCAAAAGGCTATATCTGAAGAACATAATCGCACGCTTGATAGATGAATGCAAGAACATGAGAGAACTCAAACAAATCCATGCCCAAATCATAACATCACCACATTTACCCAAACCCGACCATTTCTTTCTCATTTCTCGTCTCCTCTTCTTCTCCGCAACCTCCAAATCGGGCTCTCTCAGCTACGCTGAAGATGTTTTTAAAATCGTAGAAAACCCGAATCTATTTGTATACAATGCGATGATTAGAGCTCATGCTTACAAAATGAAAGATTGGGATGGACCCAATTCGTGCCGGGCCTTGATTCTGTATAAGCAAATGCTATGCAATGGCATTGCACCGGATTGCATCACTTTCCCTTTTATCGTTAAGGAATGCACGGGGAGGCTTGATGGTGTCACAGGTCAAAGCATTCATGCCCATGTTGTTAAATTTGGATTTCATAATGATGTTTTTATACAGAACTCAATGATAAGTTTGTATTCAGCATTTGGGTTTTTGAAGGGTGCGCGGAAGGTATTTGATGAAATGTCAAATAGAGATATTGTTTCCTGGAATTCGATAATTATTGGGTGTTTAAGAGGAGGGGATGTTGACTCGGGATTGGATTTATTTAGGAAGATGGAGAAAAGAAATATTATTACTTGGAATTCAATCATAACGGGGTTTGTTCAAGCTGGCAGATCAAAGGAGGCCTTGGAACTTTTTCATGAAATGCAGGTAGATGATGTGGTTAGTCCGGACAAGATCACCATTGCAAGTGTGCTTTCTGCTTGTGCTTCTCTTGGTGCGAATGTTCATGGGAAATGGGTGCATGGTTACTTGAAGAGAAGTGGTTTAGAGTGTGATATGGTAATTGGAACGGCACTTGTTGACATGTATGGTAAATGTGGATTTGTGGAAACAGCATTTCAGATCTTTATGGAAATGCCCGAGAAGGATGTTATGGCGTGGACATCCATGATTTCAGTGTTTGCTCTTCATGGTTATGGTATGGAGGCTTTTGATCTGTTTAAAGAGATGGAATCAGTTGGTGTGAGGCCTAATCCTGTGACGATTGTCGTGCTATTGTCAGCTTGTGCTCATTCTGGGTTAGTAGAGAAAGGCCGCTGGTGTTTTGACTTGATGAGACATTACTCAATTAAGCCACAGGTCCAGCACTATGCTTGCATGGTTGATATACTTAGTCGAGCTTCCCTCTTTGATGAGGTAGAAGGGCTTATCAAAACCATGCCGATGGAACCAGATGTGTTTGTTTGGGGGGCATTGCTTGGAGGATGTCAAATGCATGGGAATGTAGAGTTAGGAGAGAAGGTGGCACAAACATTGATAGATATGGAGCCTCTAAACCATGCCTTCTATGTGACTCTGTGTGATATATTTGCCAAAGCTGGTAAATTTGACAACGTGAAGAAAACTAGAGCTTTTATGAATGATAAATGGATTAAAAAGGTAATTCCAGGCTCTAGCATGATTGAAGTTGATGGAATTGTTCATGAATTCTCAGTGAGAGGATCGCCTGAAGTTGTGATGGAGGAACTAATTTATGTCTTGAATTTGTTAAGTAATGAGATAAGATAGAAGAAAATTTTGGAGACAACTTGGTGAATACCAATTTATTGATGGATATGGAGATTTGAGTGTTTCTCATGCTCGAACGTTGTGAACCAACTGTGCTAATTTCTTCCATCACATAAATTAAGGCCATGGTTCAGAATATTAATCACACCTAATTCCCGCTTTCCTTTGAATCTGGGCTTTCCTTTAGGGCGTCCCCCAGAGCCTTGGTCACATCAGCCGAATACTCTTATTAGAATACTCTCATAGTGAGAGAGTTGGGTGGCTGGACGCTGACTGATCTGCTCGAAAGAAGGCAACGAATTCTGAATGATCAGGATGGACCTCTCTTGGTTCACCTGCAGCAGCAAGAACTTGGTACAAATATCATTCTATTTATGTCGATGCTATTTCCATGCTACTTATTTTTATTGAACTACGGGAATTATATCCCAACAAACAAGTAAGGACAAATCTTCAAGGAGCCCGCATGAGAACTCTCATAATACTGTTTTTGGAAAAAAATTTCTGGAGTATGAGGTGCTGTGAAATACAAAGTTGAAGAATATAATATGGAGGTAAAAAGTCAGTCCTGATCAGCATTTTTTTTTTTTTTTCCGCAGCAAGGATACGGAGGCAGTTCATTTAATTTATCCATAATCCTCCACAACTGTTTTCTTGCTGCTACCAAATATTTCTATACAAGCATTTGAAAGATACAAGTACCATGATTTTTGGATGCAAACTGTACTATAGGTTGTGTTTGGGCATTCCATGGGAAAGTAATCATAATGTTGTGTATCTTAGATTGCATCATTTTATCATTATCATCATTAAATTTATTATTATTATAATTAGTTATGCTATTGCTGCTGGTACTATGCCTACCATTAGTTCTTTTCCCCTCAATCTTCACTTACCAGGTTTCAGCATCAAATGTAATAACTTCAGTTCAACATCCTAGCAGTCCATTGGAACAGCACCATGGAATCTCTTTTTATGTATTGCTATGCCCCTTCCAAAACAAAACATCCATCCTGTGTCATATTGCATATAATTTATTGAAGAGTCAAATCAAGAGGGATAAGGTGATATGAATCAATTAGGAATGAAGGACCTGTTGTCAGGGGCTTATATGTTATTACTTATATAATATTGGGGCTTATGTGTAATTTCTGAAACTTATTAGTATAAATAGAATGTGATGGAAGGATGAAAGTATTCTTTCACTCTTTCTCTCTTTCCCATCTCTCTCTCTTTTTCTCTCATCCTTTTTCTTATACTTTACTCTTGATTTGATTATATCTTAAAGTCAACATGGTATCAGAGCATTGTTTGTAAAGCTCTAGGTGTGTAGTTGAAACCCTAGGGCGAGTTTTTGTAAACGCTAGATGGTGTGAAGGGTTTTGAAGAGATTCCAAGATGGGATTTTTTTGCAAGGAAGTAGTGTTAATCACATCCACACGTACCGCGTATCCAACTAAAGGAACATATTAATGTTTGGGACCTGTTTTTGATCTGTTTTTGTGGCCCAGAATTAAGGGAACATATTAATGATGGGAATCAGATAGATACAGGAATATCAAGGGAAATGGTGAAGAACATATGGAGGAAATCAGTTAGATACAGAAATAGGAAATGATACACAGTCAAATATTTATTTAAGTATTTAGATCCATTTCTGTTATTAAATATTTTCATAATATTCTCATTGTATCGCTTTATAATCCTAGATAAACACATTGTTGAGTAGATCATTTACATGTTATTATCATTATAGTTGAGGATTTTTATTTTTTATTTTTTAAACTCGCCTTGCTATTATTAGACCTCATATCCAATATGGATAGTTTATTTACATTCAAGTGGAACTATGTGAAGAAACTGAGGTTGATTAGTTTTTGACCTTTTCCTGGTTACACTGTTCTTACATTCATGCAGTTGGGTGAGGTCCAATCAATTATAATAGAGTAAAAGAGATGCCATCATCTGTTTGCCTGAGCATTAACTTTTGATGGATCGCTCCATTTAAATCTATTTGTTAAAAAATAAGGTGTACAAGTTTCCTTAACTCTAAGACAGATAACCAGTCAAATTATTAATTTAGGCTAAGGGTGAACCCATCCAAAGAGTCTACATCCATTAGTTGTATTATAAAAGCTTTCCCTTTCCTGAACCTCATATTTAATTTTCAGAAATCTGCAAGTCGCTATGTTCAAGGTTATGCTGAAAGCAACCTTTTATAGGATATGAGCGAAAACTTCAATAACGATGCTATCTTCTGAAAAAACAAACAGTAGAAGACAACCATTGAACATATTGTTGAATTATATAAGAACCAGTTTAGATGAGTAAAGGTAATTAACTAATTCTTAATCATTGGATCATTCTCGTTCATATCTAATTTTGGGATCCTCCGGATGAACTCTATAATGGGTGCCCTTTTCTTCTGTATGTTCAGTGTTTTACTACTTATCACAGGGTTCTTCCCAGCAGTATCTTTCATTTTAGCATTGGTTGGAGTGTTAATTTTCTTCGTGATTTTATTGATAGCTATATTACTAGTCATTTACATCAGAGAATTAATCTTGAAGGACCATCGGCCACCGGTTGCAGGGCCAATAGTCAATCAAATCATACACTTTAATAGACTATTTGATTACCACACATCCCTTGCTCGGAAATACAGTACTTTTCGTATGATCACACCGTCACACAGTGAAGTCTACACTGCTGATCCTGTTAATGTTGAATATATTCTTAAAACTAATTTCTCCAATTATGGCAAGGTAACATAGCTTGTATAGCATGGTAAACTTTACTCGGTATTTGAATTTTTTAAATGTGATGTTCTGCTGTAATGTCTTTGCAGGGGGAATTTAATTATGAGATAATGAGAGATCTTTTTGGTGATGGGATTTTCGTAGTGGATGGTGATAAATGGCGTCACCAACGGAAGCTTGCAAGCTATGAGTTCTCAACAAAAGTTTTGCGAGATTTCAGTACAATTGTATTTCGAACTAATGCAGTTAAATTAGCTTTGAAGGTTTCTGCTGCAGCAGTGGCTAAGCAAGTGATGGATCTTCAGGTTTCTTAATCAGAATCAGTCTATTTTGGCCTACTATTGAATCAAATTTAAAGAAGCTTAAATTCAAAGTGAAATTTAATTAACAATATTCACATCTAACCTTTGCAAATCTTTTTGAAATTTATAAAAATAAAAAATAAGTATTTGAACTTTGAAGCAAAAATGCTTCATTTTAGGGGTTGAAGGTAGCTTTTCTGGTCAGTGCTACACTTCTTAGAAATATGTTTGACATAGCATTTCTGGTCGATGCTACATTTCTTAGAAATATGTTTTACCTTCATCCTTACCCTTGAAGAAAGGAAAAAGAAATGAAGTAAGGCCTTCAAAATTAATTTAAACAGCCGTTGGAAATAATTCTTCTTTGAAGGCAATTCGTGGCTCACCCTTAGTGTTTGGTTCCTAACAAAAATTGTGGACTTTTCATTCTTTTTTGCAGGATCTGTTGATGAAATCAACTTTAGACTCAATATTTAAGGTGGGATTTGGGGTTGAGCTTGATACTCTATCTGGTTTGGATGAATTCAGCAATCAATTCATGAGGGCCTTTGACAATTCCAATGTTATTATTTATTGGCGATACGCTGATCTATTATGGAGGATTAAAAGATTCCTTAATATAGGCTTGGAGGCGGAACTTAAGAAGAATATCAAAGTCATCAACAACTTTGTTTTCGAATTGATCCGTCGTAAGAGGGAGCTGATGAAAAATGAAAAGCTTGATGTGAGTCGATTATACTCAATATAATGGATATTCCTTTTCCACGTTATCAAATCAATCTTTCTTTCTTACTTTTTTTTTTTCTTTTTTCTTTTTTAGAAAGGGAAAGAAGATATCTTATCAAGGTTTTTGATGGAGAGTGAGAAGGATCCAGAGAACATGACTGATCAATATTTGCGAGATATTACTCTCAGTTTCATTATTGCTGGCAAGGACACCTCTGCAAACACGCTCACTTGGTTCTTTTATATGCTGTGTAAACATCCTCTGGTTCAAGAAAAGGTTGCACAGGAAGTGAGAGAGGCAACTGAAGCTGAGGATAACTTGTCTGCTGAGGAATTTACTGCCAAGTTATCTGAAGCTGCCGTGGACAAAATGCAGTATCTTCATGCAGCTCTAACCGAGACACTCAGACTCTATCCTGCAGTTCCTGTGGTAATGTTTTGCACACCACAAAGTATTTGCCTGTATTCCTTTGACCTTCATTCATTTGTTACAATGACGAATTTGGAAAAAATGATACGACATTGCCTTCTGATTACAGTATTATTGCATTTGGGAGCACCGAATTGGCGCCTTGGAATTGGAACCGGAGAAAATTTATTTCAATTCCAAGGCGCCGACTCAATGCATGAAGGATGTAGTGTTTACAATTTAAAATTCTATAGCTGAGGGAATAATGTACCACTGAAGTTTTCTTGTTTTTCTCATATAGTAATTCATTCTATCTTGAAGTTTAAATGAGAAAACAATCAAATTTGAAACTAGAATTTGCTAATTTTAATCTAATGCAGGATGGCAAGAATTCAGGAGAAGACGATATCCTTCCTGATGGCTTCAAAATAAAGAAAGGAGATGGCTTAAACTACATGGCTTATGCCATGGGAAGGATGACATACATATGGGGAGAGGATGCCGAGGAATTCCTACCTGAAAGATGGCTCGATAATGGTGTTTTCAGATCCGAAAGTCCTTTTAAATTTACGGCTTTTCAGGTTAGAAACATTAAGTTTTTACAAGGCTATATAATTTCAAAATTCCCATATTATTTATTTATTTTTCTCCAATCGTTAGGCTGGTCCTCGGATATGCCTAGGAAAGGAATTTGCTTACAGGCAAATGAAGATTTTAGCAGCCGTTCTTCTCTTCTTCTTCAAATTCAAAGTCGTTGATGAGAGCAAGGAAGCTACTTATCGAATCACCCTTCACATGGATAAAGGCCTCCATCTATATGCATTTTCCCGTCTATAACTGAGGAATTAGAAGTCACACACCCATTTGTCCCTAAGAAGACTCGAATCCTCACCTTCCACTTTGGATCGTAAAGAAGATACAACTGGGCTATAGCCCTCGGTTGTAATATATATATATATATATATATTTCCTGGTAAATGGTATTTGTGTTGCTTTCCATTTTCATGAAACAATTATTAACTATAAATTATCTCTTAAACTTGAACCTTGTAGTCTCTCCTCATATAAATAAATCTTACATTCTGGAAATCATTTGTCACATAATATCATGTTCATAAAGATTGGTGTGTAAACCCTTGATTCTTTTTCCTGAAGCCATCATTGTTTACTTCTAATTTGCCGCAATGACCAGAGAGATCTATTGAGTATGACCAATAATTGGCACTAAAAGACACTTTTTAAGAGGGCTTCTCAAGGTTTGGAATGGTACCTCCTACATAATATGGCCTACTTGCTTTGTGTCCTTTTCACATTCAAAGCATCATTTTTTTGAGTTTGAAAACTTATATTTTGATATTTAGATCTTGTGGACGGTTGAATTGATTTGATTTGTTAGAAAATAATAATAATAATTTGATAATAGATATAGTTTTCAAAACATGTGACCATATGGGGCAATTGGCATTGATGAATTTTGTGGGAGACACTTTAAAGAAGAAAGATAATTGATAAGAAAAGGGTCTTTATTTGTATTTGATCGATAAATTAATTATTATTATTATTTTTTCACAAGACAAGAAGTGTTAGAATTTATATTAATAGACATAGAAAGTTCGACACTTTAAAATTTATCGAAAGCACTAACTCACTGAATTATTGAGATATTTGCGATTGATATATTGATTGATGTTAACAAACAAAAGTCTAAAAATAAATTTAACTTTTACCACTATATTAAATGACTAATTTCAAATTGAGTCCATGATTGATATATTGATTTATGTATTGATGGATTGGTACAAATATGCATGATCAAAACGTAATAAACAGGTCATTTTCTAGTATTAGTCATTATTTAGCATTCGTCCATAATGCGTACGAAAAAACAGGTTTAATTTTGAGGACTATGTGAAATATTAATAATAATTTTTTCTTTTTTCTTTTTAACCATGAAAAATATTAATAAGTTGTAGCATTGAAGATTAGCCTTGCAAATAAGATATAATAATATTTGAGAGAAGAACATCCAACAACCACTTGGGTCAGATGTTCCAATCCAAATCACCACGAGCGACTACAAGAGCCTTCTTGCTCAAAACATGAGCTACAACATTTCCTCCCCAACGAACCCAAGCCAGAGAGGCACCCAAACAGTCCTTACGAAGAGAAATGACATCCTAAAAACCAATAAATAAAGCCTCCACAGAGGCTTGAAGTTGCATCACAAGCAAACAATCTCCCTCAATAATCACATTGTGGTAACCCCAGAGCTTAAGAAGATCAGAGACTTTCCGAAGAATCAAACCCTCAACGAGCGCCGGATTGTAGGCATTAGATAAAAAGGCCGAAGCAACCTTGAGCGGAAAACCAAGGTGGTTTCTGAGAATTAGACCTCCCCCACAAGTCTTCATGGAAGAATAAAAGGAGGTGTTAAAGTTAAGTTTGAAACCACCCTAATAGAATTGGAAATTCAAAGTTAAAATTGTAAAGTATCAAATTGGGGAATGTATGAATGTCATATAGATGTCTAGACATCTATCAAGGACATTGTAATATAGTGGTATTTTTCTATCTCGTAAAATGAATAGCCCCCCCGGTTTGCCTAAAAGAGCTACATACAACTTAATCACTTTTGAATAATGACACCTCCTAAATTTAGTACACCGAACAAAGACATCTCAACCATATAAAAATATATACTTGCCCTTTGACTTTTGTTTGACCAATGTGAATAACATTTAATTGACCAAAATAACCCTAATGACAAAAACAAACACCACCAGCACCCCACCACACCTCGCCCCCGCCGCCACCATCACTACACCCCGCCGCCACCACCACCTCACAGCCCCACTACTGCCACTCCATAGTGCCCACCACCACCACTTCACAGCCCTACCAATTGGTATTCTTGCACACATACACACATCTTCCTCGTTCCACCATGACCACACAAAACCACACACATATAGATCTATATATATATATATATATATATATATATATATATATACATACAAAATAGAGGGGTTCAAATTACACACATGTTTGACAAATATTTGCACAGCAAAACCTAACGACTCAAAATCCAAACAATATGAGATTGGGTTTTTTGATTAGGTGCTCAATTGGGTACCCTTGTAATTTCCAACGACGATAGAAGAATGAGATTGACTTGATGATGTATTCACTGGCTTCGTTTAGGGTTGGCAATATTTGACACGACACGAGATAAGAGGGTTTGGGTTTGGGCTAATCGTGTTCATAGCTGTTTACACCCTAATTTTCCACTTTCCAGTGGAAGATTACCCTGGTCGATTCCAATGGAAAGGTACTACGACGTTCCAGTGGAACGTCTTGGGACACATGGCAACCAAGGAAGTGAGCGGTTACATGTAAGCGAAAAGTCATGGGACACATGGCAGCCAAGGAAGCAAGTGGTTACATGCAAGTGGAAAGTCATGGGACGCATGGCAACCAAGGAAGCGAGCGGTTACATGCAAGTGGAAAGTCATGGGACACATGATAGTTTAGGAAGCGAGCGGTTACATTCAAGTGGAAAGTCATGGAACACATGGTAGCCATGGAAGCGAGTAGTTATATTCAAGTGGAAAGTCATGGGACACGTGGCAGGCCAAGAGGGAAGCAGTTGGAAGACATGATTTCCAAGTGGGAAATGTGGCAGAATTTCTAATTAAAGAGGGGTTATTCCAATGGAATGTGTAAGATTCCAGTGGAATGTCATGCGAATAAGTAACATAAATGGCAAAACGTGGACTAGAACGTGGCTACAAGTTGAGCGCATAACTTGGAAATGTGGGACACGCGGAGGATTTCCATTGGAAGAGCAGTTATTTCGGCCAATGGAAAATCATGCTGAAAATGGCAGAAATGTAGGAAAACATGGTCTTACACGTGTAAGCACTATGAAGGCTGAAGAATGCAGTAGGACACATGGCGCAAATCTATCCAATACACTTGGAAGCATTTAAAGTTAACAATGGAACTGCATAGAACTGTTCTATTAACTGCCATTTCCAAATTCTATAAATAGGGCATATTATTGTTACTTAGAAGGCCTGTTCAACATACAACTTAAATTACAACAACATTTCAATACAAATTCTTATTTTCATTGCAATGCAATTCCATTATGTATAGCTTAAGTCCTGTACTTTACTTTACATTAGATAATTTTACAGTCAATTCAATTACTTTCTCAAGTAGTTCGTTCCTTCCTAGCTAATTAACAATCCCGAAGTCCTTTTTCAAAGGCAAAAAGAACCATGAGGTGTTCATTCCAGACCTCATCACAGTCACCTGGTCTTGCAAACTTCCTTCTAGAATATTGCTTGGATTTTTCTTTGGAACTACAGCAGTTCCTGGCATGCCTATCCGGTTCCATCAGAACTGACCAGGCTAAACAATGTCGACACCGATTGACTCGCTAATTAAACGTGTCGTGTTCGTGTTTGACCTTCTAAACATGATTATGACACGATTAATTAAACGCGTTAGATAAACGTGTCGTGTTCGTGCAAAAAATGACCCATTTATGTAAACGTATAGAATAAACATGTCGTGTTCGTATAAAAAATGACTTAAACGTGTCTTTTCGTATCGTGTCAAGTCTTTATCCATTTATTAAATAGGTTATGCGTGTCGTGTCGTGTTACACGTATAATAATAGTATTGTGTTCGTGTCAGGGTCTTAGACACAATTAATAATCATGTTGCGTTCGTATCGTAATCGTGTCGACACGAACACGACACGCCAACACGAGTTGCCACCCCTATCTTCGTTGCCACAGATTACTGCTTCACACGTGTCGACGTTACCTATGGAGAATGAGTAGGAAAGGGGTTGAGGACTAATTGAAACACGATGTATCATTCGAAACCACTGAAGGATTCATCATCTGGTCCCATCAACGAAGTTTCATAATCTCCTTTGTTAAATTTTTCATCGGCATTGGTGCCATGTTCCAGGTCGGTGTCGGCCGGCTGGAGCTCAAAGCAGTGGACACCCCTTTCTCTATAGTTGAATCCCCCTTCCTTCGCTGATCCCTTCCTCTGTCGTGGAGCATCGCGAAGTTGGTCGTCCAATCTAGTAGCGCTACCATGCTCACTGTTTAGACCTCACACCGGTTAGTACCATCACCGTTCCTCTCGTACGTTGACATCGAAGAGCGCTCCGGTGATATCGACGACACCTTTGCCGACAACGTGAGGGCTCATCGTGTCGAAATTCAACCCGACATGACCACGATTGTGGTCAGAGGCGGTGGCGACGGGATGGAATTGTTGTTGGATGAGCTGATGGTTGATGCAGGTGGCGACATGATAGAATTTGCATCATTGCTACTTGTATTTATTTTGTATTGATTATGGTTGATCACAAAGTAAATTCAAAGGCCTTCGTGTGTTTTAGATAAAATAACTTTTTATGTATTTATTTACTAAATTATCATTTTATCAAACAATTGTTTTATTGTGATCAAACCTTTTTCTCATTTCTAAGAAAAGTTAATCCTTCAGGTTGATTCAAGTAAAGCTCTTCTTCTAAGTCCTTTCAATTTGGTGAAACTTCTTGAGGATGTTCTCATTAGGCTAAGCACAACAAAGAACAATGTACTCAATAAGCTAAGCACATGAAAGAACAATTCCATTTAGCATTACTTTCCAAGATATCCTTATTTTTTTGGATCGATCATTGATGGTGATAATCTCATCCATAGCATGAGGTGATAAATATTCAAGGACGAGAAAATTCACTAGTATATCTGTCTTTAAAAAATATAAAACTTTTGTAAAAGACAAGCTCGCCATGAGTAAACATCATTGTAAAGAGCCCCTTTTTAACCTTGTATAAGAGATCACAGAAGTTATCATTTCCATGATCAACCCCAACTATTTTGAGGTTTTTTTTTTTTACGAATTCAAGATCTACAACCATATAAATAGAGTATATGGCACACTCCATATATCTTTTCCTTATTGAAAAAATTTATATCAACTCGAGTTTAATTTTGGTTGAGACAACTCCAAGTAATATCATGCCGCCATAAAGGAGAAAGACT